CTTTAGAAGGGAGAGGTGCTTCCTTCTCCCTCTTGCAGGTCCTCTTTGTGTGTCCTGGTTCCAAGTTTAGCTCCCCAAAGGGCAGAACCAGTACAAACACTTGGTTTAGCCAGCAGCCTCAGAGAGTCATAGAATAGTTAGGGTTGGAAGGGACCTTAAGATCATCTAGTTCCAACCCCCCTGCCATGGGCAGGGACACCTCACACTAACCCATGTCACCCAAGGCCTCGTCCAACCTGGTCTTGAATACTGCCAGGGATGGAGCATTCACAACTTCCCTGGGCAACCTATTCCAGTGCCTCACTACCCTAACAGGAAAGAATTTCCTCCTTATATCCAATCTAAACTTCCCCTGTTTAAGTTTTAACCTGTTACCCCTTGTCCTATCACTACAGTCCCTAATGAAGAGTCCCTCCCCAGCATCCCTATAGGCCCCCTTCAGATACTGGAAGGATGCTAAGTCTATTAAGCATTTGAATTTAAATCACCTCAAAGTGAAAAAGAACCCTTCTTTCCCTTATTACCATCTGTAACATGCAAAGCCTGTGCTATGACAATAGGTTGAATCTTCCCTTCAGGAAAAGTCACTCTTGGTACTTTCTTGTTACCCCTGTGGGTTCCAAGGTGGAAAAAAAAAAAAAATCATCTCCTAAAAGAAACTCTATGCCTCTGGATTAGAGCAATCCTACAGGAAACAGATAAGTAACTTAAAAAGGAGTGTTCTGGGAGCACACAAAAATGAAGCCGTGATTCATTAAAAGTATCTTTGCTGGCTTCTCATTTTCATTCTACAACTGAAAAGTCCTGTAAGTACCTCAATCATGCTGGTCATAAAATGCACATGTTCAGCAAGGGACATCAGCTCTTCATTTTCTTCTTTCAGGCGGGCAATTTCACCATCTTTCTGCTCAATTTCTTTGTGCAACTGAGTTCAAATAACAAAATGTTAAAACAGAAAGACACTAGCCACTAGTAAGGAAGTTCATTATCTTTTGCTAGCTACCTTTTCATTTTCTTGAAGTACTTCATACAGAGCCTTTCTCCTTTCTTCAGCCAGTTCCTTCCAATACTGAGGTGAAGGACTTTCTGAAGAAAGAAAACAACAGTGAGCCTGTGGTAAGACTGAATTTTTGGGATCACTTTAAGACATCTAATTTGTATACAAGTATTCTATAAACTGTGATAGTAAGAACTCATTCCATGTATTGCTTTCCCAGAAATCAGTTGCTTGTTTACAACTAGAAATGTAAGCTTACAATATATTAATGGCTATACAGATGGTCACATTTGCAAATATCAGTCTTTTAACATGCACTTTTTATCTTTGTACTATGTAGAAGACAGAAGTCTTATTACCAAGTCACTGTCCATATTGGGCTTAATGGTTCTGAGGAACTGCACACACCGCACACTATGCCAGAACAGGCTTTCACCTCAACTTAGTCACTTGAAAGCTCATAGCCAAGCAACGAGCTACGGGACTTCTTAACATTGTTGCACACATCACTTCTCAGCTACTGGCAACCAAACTTGTTCTTAAGCATTGGCTATCTACACTGTATTTACCATTGTACACAGAATAAGTATCAATTCCTGCTAGGCATCACCAAAAAAAAAAACAAACCACCACAAAGCCCATATCCAACTGACAAAAGGAACAGCATTTCAAGTTCTATTCCAACAGAAGCATAAAATGTGCAAGAGAACATTTCAGGAATTACCACATACCTTTTATCATGAGATCTATGGCTTCAACAGCATCATTAATATTTTCACTTTCTTGCTCCTTTACCACAGACACCCCAGCTTTACAAGCCTTTGAGGTTAACTTGCATTTCCTTTTGACTGAAGACTTCTTCTACATAGAACACAGGCAGGTTTAACTTCAGAGCAATGTTTCAGCTTTTTTAAAAAAGAAACCAAAGACTTGTAAATCTGCTCACTATGACTGAAAACATGTCTTCATAAGCCCTGCTTTCTTCATATTATAGTTCTAATTTACAGACATCTTCCTTGATAACCATAGGTTTAACAAAAGAAAACTAGCAAACATTTTTCTGAAGTACTTGGAAATTGCTAGTTAATACTGTCAATTATTAAAACAATAATAAGCTTAAGTTGTGTCGTACTTATTAGCATATTAGGTTTTTCAAATATATTGGTTTTCAGTTAAGAGCTCAAAAGCATTTCACTACAAGTAGAAATAATTACACATCTACAAGCTATCTTTTAATTCATACCTCATTACGTCTGCCTACCAGGCAACCTGTTGCTGAAGGCTGGATCATTTTAAGAGTCCGTCTTGGGGCAGCACTGCTTGTGGTGTCTGTGAGGTATTTCTAGAAAGAAGAATAAAGCTTCAGACATTTGCCACTTATCTCTCCATGGAATGAAGCTTCTGAATTTGTCATGTTTCTATTACGGTAACACATGGTTCATCTTTTCAAAACAAAAAGATGATACCCTAGCCTATGTTAAGGCTTGTGTAAAAGAAAGCTAGTTATCTGTAGCAGAGATGGATCTTAATCACAAGAAGCTATGCTTAGTCCTTGCCTCTGGGAAGCCCCCTTCACAAAGGAACTTGAAAAATTCTTCCAGCAGAAATATTCCAACTGGATTTCAAGGCCAGTTACGATGCAGTGACACACAAACTTTAGCTGAAGCTCTCAAAGTTGTATTTGACAACAGCAGTCTTATGACTTCAGGGGACACAGACCAAAGTGACTGCAACTGCAAGTTTATGCGGCTAAGTCACAGGCAGTACCTGCTTTGGTTACCTGTGAACACACCCTCAAGCGGCGTTCATTTAAATATATGGGTTGCTTCGATTACCCATTAAAAGAGATCTAAAGCTTCCTTGCTTCGATCCAGACATACTATTGTTTCATATAAATAGTATGTTTATCATCTTTTCTGTCATGCATAAATACCTCTTTCCTGCATTAAAGCTTTCTGATTGGGTTGGTTACACAGCCACCATGAAACAGCAAACAATGGCAGACAACCTAGCAAGACTAGCCAGAGCACAATGCCATACCAGCGTGAGAAAGTTCCCGATTCACACTGTACTTGAGTTGACAAGAGCTTGCATTTCCCACGGTAGTTTCTGCCACCAATCACCCTACTATTAAACTAAAGGCCAAACAGTAACTGCTGTGGGCATAGAAGGCACACGGTGTCAGGCACTGCTTGCTGCTATTGAGGGTTAAAGTTAAGTATACTCTACCAAGAAATTATTAAGTAATACATGAGTTAACACACTGAAAGCACAAAAAGCCACACTGAGAAACGTATACCCTAGAGTCACTACAGGACAAGATTACCATGTGCGTAAGTCAGACTTTACAATTGGCAATTTTCATTAATACCAGAGGTTTTCATTACAATAACTCCTCATTATAGAAGACTACTAGCCTCTATTTGCATTTGCACTATTCCACTTAGGGCCTACATTAAAAGGTTTAACAAAGGAACACTGTAACAAGAGTAGAATAAGTATAAAATTCAGTAACTTCTTATAAGCCACCTCTTAAAAAAATCTGTATTATTTAAGCATTTCCACCAATTCCACAGCAACTATGATTCATGAGGGTGACTTCAAAAACATAACTGCCTGCATGAATACTTCAGTTAAAGCATGCTCAAGCCAAGACCGATTTAACTCTTCAGCCCTATTTAAGGACAAACTGCAGAACCCACTCTACACCCCCTCAGCAGCCAGACTGATTCAGTAACCAAATTAGGGCAGGTAGTCAGTACCTAAAAACCTAAGTCACATGGAAAGACAGCACACTCAGTGCTGAAGTAAAAAGGCCTTGTTGAGCAGTAAGAAAAAAGCAGCCTTAACCTCGTATGCCCAAGCAGGACAGTGTTCCCAAGCCACGCTGCCTGCCATGAGGATACCCAAGCCAACAGGTCATAAGCCAGGTGGAAGCACATTGCAACAGATCCCCTTTCTATTCCTTCAGTAGATACGAAACACGTGCCAGAGGGACCATTTCCTACAGAACTGAGCACAAACCTCATAACAAAGGAAATCCCGTGTTTGAGATGCTCTTGATAACCTTTTAATTTTCCACCCCATCTGCCCCATACTCTAGCTTCAAGACTTCAAAGCCTATACCTGCAAAGGTCCTGTTTTTTCTGCGTTCTGTTTCATTTTGGAATTTATAGGGTCACTGAAAAAAAAAGAAAAAAATAATTATTAACGCTCAGCTACAACGCAAGCACGGGGACACTAGCTACAGGCCACTACAGCTTCAGCTCATCAACTTCTATGGCAGCATTAAACATTCAGTCGTGAACCGCGCGGCTCTCGGGGTCCCTTCCCGACACAGGCACTGGAAACGCAAAGCCCGAGGACACACCCCGCGTCGCTGACACCGTCTTTCCCACAGCAGCCCACGGCAGACATCACCACGAACCACAGTCCCGCTGTCCCTTCCTACACGGATGAGAAGCGGCAGAGCGCCTCAGCCGCACGCCCAAGATGGCGGAAAGACCCCCACCTCCCCCACCACTCCCGCCAAGCAAGCCTGCAGCGCCCCTCCCAGCCCGCCGCCGCGGCCAATGGGGAAGCGAGGCAGGAGCCCGCCAAGACCCAAAAGCCGCCATGAAAACGTGCGCCCACCTCGCTCCCAAAACCTTCGCCGAGACGGAGAGCGGCCCCCACCTCCTCAACCCACCGCGTACACCCAGCGAACTCCCCGACCTCGGCCCGGCTCACCACCACCAGCCGTTTACGCGCAGCTGCAGCTCAGAGCGCACACAACTGCCTGCCCGCTAGTGCTCGGCGTACGGCTTTAAGGAGCGCGGAGAACGGGGGGGGGGGGCCACGGCCACGTGATCAGATGCCGCTCTCCGAGCCAATCGTGAGCCGCGCTCTTTCATCCAGCCGACGGAGCCACGCCCCGTGGGCCAATGGCGGGAGGACGGAGAGCGAGGAGGGCGAGCGGGCGGTCTGAGGGGCCCTGAGGCGGGTGGGATAAGGGGGAGCATAGATCGGGTGGAGCAACTGCTGCTGGAGGCGGTCCGAGGAGAGATCCTCACCTTTAGAAAGGTGAGAGGGACACTCGGAGTAGAGCGCTGGGGTATGAGACACTTCAGCTGTGAACCACGCGTCCTGGCCCTGCCAAGTGCCTTGGGGAGCGGCACAGAGCTGTCTGGTGCAGTCTGCGCCTAGGTGTTACCTCATACTCGACGAGAAAGAAATACTGAGACTCGTATTGAGGTTTTAGAAAACAAGCATTCTTTATTTAGTGCTGGGGACACGGCGGATTGCTCCACGTACCGTGTCAAACTACAAAACGAGTCTTAAGAGAGTATTGCGCCGAATTTTAGGTACTATTTTGGCGACCCAGCTGGAACAAATGCTTCTAGACCTCTATGGACCCTGGGACTGCAGAACGTCCAGCTGGCACCGAGGACTTCCTTGGGAAGAACCCTGATTCCTGAGAGCTTGAAGTAAGACCCCTGGTGAGTACAAAAGGTATTTTTTATGGAAATTCCCATCCACCTAAGCCATGAGGATTTATCCTACACAGCAGTTGGATATTTTGGGTTTCTTGTGCACTAGGTTTGGTAATTGTGGGCTGGAGTCCCACCAAAGAGCTCTTTTGACTTATGTGTTAAATTTGTTGTTTTTAGTTGCACATTGTAAGTGTGACATAAGGGGTAATAAGCCTTCGAGGGTGGGGGGATTTTAAAGAAATCTCCCTTGGGATGTCTTCTGAAACGCTGGGAAAAGATTGGAGGACCCCAAGGAGGGACTGCAAGGAGACAAGGTCAAATTAAATATTGGTATCATTGGTGGCTGCTGTACAAATTAGTGGAGAGAAATGGCCGAAGAGTGGAACACTGGATTATGATATGTTGTTACAGTCAGTGTTGGTTTTGAAAAGAGAGGGAAAGTGGGATGATGAATTGTGATATGTTTTCCACTTTGTGGTATCTCCCACTGATCTCTTAGGAAACAGAAGAAGCAGTACTCCCAATTGTGGGGGCTGGAGAAATACCTGTGAGATTGAGACATGCCAAAGTAGTAAGAGTTAAGCTTAGACCAGGATCAATACAGGCAAGGTTGAAACAGTATGCTTTAAAATTAGAATCTAGAATGGCATTAGTGCCAATCATTCAGAGATTTCTTAGATACCATTTGTTAAAGGATTGTAAATCTAAATACAGTACCAGTGGAAAAGGCAGATGGAAAGAACCTTAAGTTAGTTCAAGACTTAAGGGCAACAAATAAGATCGTCCAAGATACTCATCCTGTAATAGCCAACCCATACACTTTATTAACTGCCCTTATGGGGGGAGCAAGGTTGGTTTACAGCTTTAGATAAAAGCTGCCTTATTCTGCACACCTCTTGATTTAGAGAGTCAGGAGCTATTTGCTTTTGTGCAGGAAAACCCTGAGGATGGGAGGAAAACGCAATACACATGGACAGTCCTTCCACAAGGGTTCGAGGGTAGCCATATAATGTTTGGAAACCAAGTAGCTAAGGAGTTGAAATTACTGAGACAAGAAAATACAGACGGGATGGTGCTGCAGTATGTAGATGATACACTAATAGCAGCAGAACTTCAAGAACAGTGTACCATATTGACTATCAGCCTGTTACATTTTCTGGGACTCAGCAGATATAGGATATCGAAGGAGAAAGCACAAATTGTGCAAGAAACTAACCTGCTTGGGCCTTGAGATTATAAAAGGGAAAAGACAGCTGAGCACAGAACGAAAGGAGGCCATCTGTCGCCTGCCGGCGCCACAGAGTACCTGTGAATTGCAAGCATTTCTAGGAATGGTCGCATGGTGTCGCCTGTGTATTGCAAATTACGGGCTTTTAGTTAAACTGTTACATGAGATGCTAAAGAACGACTGTAAAACGCCCATCTGGAAGGGACAGAAAAAAGGGCTGTGTTTAAAAGATTAAAACAAGTACTGACGAAAGCTCCTCCCTGATCCCACTAAAGCTGTTGAATTGTTCACTTATGAAAGGCAGGGAGTAGCACTGGGAGCTTTATGACAGCTTCTGGGAAATTCAAGATGAGCTGTGACGTATTTTTCCAAACAATTGGACACTGTAAGCCAAGGATGGCCAGGATGTTTAAAGTCTGTTGTAGCAACAGTACTGTTAATACACAAGGCTAGTAAGATCACTTTGGGACAGTAAATGATAGTATATGTTCCACATACGGTTCTTCTTACTGGAGCAGAAAAGAGCGCATTGGTTGTCCCCTAGCAGCATCTTGAAATACCAAATGGTATTGTTGGAACAGAATGATGTCGTGCTCAAAACAACTGCCATTGTCAATCCTGCCATGTTTCTTTCAGCCCAGCTGATAGAAGGGGTATCTGAGCATGACTGTCTACAGACCATTGAAGAAGCCTGCTCCAGTTGTCCAGACTTGAAGGATGCTCCATTAGGAAAACTGGACTACGAACTATATAACATAAGAACGATATGGAGCTGTTGGATCAAGTCCAGAGGAAGGCCACAAGGATTGTAAGAGGGCTGCAGCACCTCCCACAGGAAGACAGGCTGAGAAAATTTGGGCTGTTCAGCCTGGAGAAGAGAAGGCTGTGTGGGGACCTCATAGCAGCCTTCCAGTATCTGAAGGGGGCCTATAACGATGCTGGAGAGGGACTCTTCATCAGGGATTGTAGCAATAGGACAAGGGGTAATGGGTTAAAAGTTAAATTGGAAGTTTAGGTTAGATATAAGGAAGAAGTTCTTTACTGTGAAGGTGGTGAGGCACTGGAATGGGTTGCCCAAAGAAGTGGTAAATGCTGACAGTGTTCAAGGCTAGGTTGGACAGAGCCTTTGGCAACATGGTCTGGTGTGAGGAGTCCCTGTCCATAGCAGGGGGGTTGGAACTTGATGATCTTAAGGTCCTTTCCAACACAAACCATTCTATGATTCTGTATACAGATGGTAGTATTTTTATGTGAGAACAAAGCATATGTTGGGCTATGCAGTGATTGCTGCATGTAACAGAGGTGAAGGTCCTTCTCCTGAAAACATCAGCACAAAAGGCAGAACTGGTAGCTGTCACCCATACCTTGGAATTGAGCAAAGGAAAAGTTGTCTGTATTTGGATGGACCTTTGGAGTAGTTCATGCCCATGAAGCCGTACGGAAAGAAAGAGGATTATGCCTGACCATTATATCATGCTTGACCAATCTCTTAGCCTTTTATGAGGAAATAACACAGTGGATGGATGATGGCAGAGCAGTGGATGTGGTCTACCTTGACTTCAGCAAAGCATTTGACACAGTCTCCCACAGCATCCTCACAGCTAAATTGAGGAAGTGTGGTCTGGATGATCAGGTAGTGAGGTGGACTGTGAACTGGCTGAAGGAGAGAAGCCAGAGAGTTGTAGTCTATGGGGCGGAGTCTAGTTGGAGGCCTGTAACTAGTGGAGTGCCTCAAGGGTCAGTACTGGGACCAGTATTATTTAATATATTCATCAATGATTTAGACGAGGGAATTGAGTGTACTATCAGCAAGTTTGCTGATGACACTAAGCTGGGAGGAGTGGCTGACACGCCAGAAGGCTGTGCTGCCATCCAGCGAGACCTGGACAGGCTGGAGAGTTGGGCAGGGAATAACTGGATGAAATATAACAAGGGAAAGTGTAGAGTCCTGCATCTGGGCAGGAACAACCCCAGGTTCCAGTATAGGTTGGGGAACGACCTGTTAGAGAGCAGTGTAGGGGAGAGGGACCTGGGGGTCCTAGTGGACGACAGGATGACCATGAGCCAACACTGTGCCCTTGTGGCCAAGAAGGCCAATGGCATCCTGGGGTGTATTAGAAGAGGGGTGGTTAGTAGGTCGAGAGAGGTCCTCCTTCCCCTCTATTCTGCCCTGGTGAGACCTCATCTGGAATATTGTGTCCAGTTCTGGGCCCCTCAGTTCAAGAAGGACAGGGACCTGCTGGAGAGAGTCCAGCGCAGGGCAACCAAGATGATTAAGGGAGTGGAGCATCTCCCTTATAAGGAAAGACTGAGGGAGCTGGGTCTCTATAGTTCAGAGAAGAAGAGACTGAGGGGTGACCTTATTAGTGTATATAAATATATAAAGGGGGAGTGTCATGAGGATGGAGCCAGGCTCTACTCAGTGGCAAACAGTGATAGGACAAGGGGTAATGGGTACAAACTGGAACACAAGAGGTTCCACTTAAACTTGAGAAGAAACTTCTTCTCAGTGAGGGTGACAGAGCACTGGAACAGGCTGCCCAGGGAGGTTGTGGAGTCTTCTTCCCTGGAGACATTCAAAAGTCACCTGGACACATTCCTGTGTAACATTATCTAGGTGTTCCTGCTCCAGCAGGGGGATTGGACTAGATGACCTTTTGAGGTCCCCACAGTACTGTGGTACTGTGATACTTTCAGCACAAGGGACTGAGGTCAAAGATGCTGACCACATTAGTTAGACAGTGTCAGACTTCCTAGAAGGAAAGCTATTATGCACTGTAAAGCCCATCGATTGTGAAAAACCATTCAAGAACTGGGAAACAGATAAGCAGATTTAGCGACAAAAGCGGCTGTAGAAAGAGGCGTTGAAATGGAAGGTGAAGTGTTAGCTCTACTGCCAGAAAAAAGGACTTATTTTAACTGAAAACCCCAAACATGACCTTCAAGATGGAAAACTAATTGACACTTTACTAGCACAAAACCAGGAAAAGGGATGGGCAGTGACCCCTAATGGACAAATGGTAATACCCTACTTTCTGATGAGAAAAATCATGAAAGAGGAACATGTTAGAGTACACTGGGGATTTAAAAATTGATTGAAACACCTACATAAAACTGTTATTAGCCAAAATACAATAGAAGTTGTGAGATCTGTTACAGAGAGAGATGAAATTTGTAGTAAAAATAATCCTAACACTCAGAATAAAATGTTATTAGGAACCAATAAACAAGATAATTTACCCAGAGAGTTTTGGAAAATAGATTTTAGCAAACTGCCAAGAAAAGGGGGATGGAAATATTCGCTTGTTCTAATAGACACATTTACTGGCTGGCCAGAAGCCTTCTCATGCACACTGAAAGAGTGAGAGAAGTGGTAAAATGCTATTAAAAGAAATTTTCCCATTATTTGAAATTACTTTGGGAATGTCATCAGATAGGGGATCGCATTTTATAGCAGAAGTTCAACAAATGAGTAAAATATTGGGAATTTCTTGGGATTTGCATACACCATATAGACCTCAGTCAAGTGGAATGGTAGAAAGAATAACACAAAACTCAGCTGGAAAAAAGATGTCAGGAAACATTTATGACTTGTGTACAGGCTCTGTCTCTTGCTTGGTGAGAATAAGGCTTAATATACACTTATCTCTAATCCAAAATATTACCCAATTCCTGTACAAAAATGAGATTGTTGGATTCACACCCAGTGCCTAAGGATTCTAGTCCAAGGTTATCCTTAATAGGAATCCCACTTCCACTTAATGGCTCTTGGACAAATAGCACATTTTGGAGCAATACCGCTCTTAAAAAGATCCAGTGTCAAGAAGCGTGAAACATAATGGAAAAAAACACAATTATATTAGAAGAAAATAGTACATGGACCTGTTAAGTAAGTTCAGGAAATGGTATCTCTGTGGGAAAACTCTCATGTTGTAACGAGATGCTGTTTTAACATGGCAAAGATAGACCCTGAATTTCAATGACTGAATTACACTGGTCTTCTAGTTCCTGCAGGAACAGGATGTTATTGACTGTGTGGCACAACTGCTCAGAAAATATTACCCTAGGATGGAGAGGAGCATGGACCTTTGGAGCTTTAGTTCCTAACATAACAATTATTGAGAGACCATACCCACAAGGAGTACAGTAAACAGGGTTCATAGTGCTTTAGCTGACAGAGCCCATGGGTTCAGTGGTTTTATGAGATGGTTCTTCCCATGGCTTGGGGTAACTGAATTAGAGAAAACCATAATAAACATTTCAACAGTAATAGAAAACATTGAAAAGAAAACCGTTTGTGCCATATAGGCTTTGCAGATTAAAGTATCTAGCCTGTCAAAAGTAGTGATCCAAAGCAGGTTGGCCCTAGATTTGTTATTGACTTCACAAGGTGGTGTTTGTACCATCATAAATACAGCTATTGCATGTATATTGATCAAAGTGGCAGAATTACTACAGATTTGGAAGAGATCTGGGATTGCACTAAAATTTTACATGACGTTACCACAGATTACACTTCTTGCGTATTCCAATCAATACAGGATAAATTTACCTCTTGGCTGCCAAACTTGTCCTGGTTAAAATTTTTTTGTTGTTGGAATAATCTTGATTATCCTAATTTGTATCCTTGCCTGTATGGTGATACAACATTGTAGTTGTTATATTCAAATATGGTTTAAAATTAGGTACAAAAGTTTAGTATGAGGGTCTCTGATGACAATCCATCAAAAACTCTCATGAGAAAAGGGCAGACTTGATCCCTTGAATTATTTGTAACATACTTGATTCTGAGTATGTAGCTTCTATAAATAATTAACCTGGAGGCAAGGTCTTGTTTTGAAACATCTGCAATAAACAATGACAAATCAACATTCTGAAGAACAAAACAAGAAAGATGAGAAGAACCTGGTTTCCACAGAAGGAACTGTAACCAGTTCAGACTGGTAGTGTGCAATCAACTACCTTGACAAGTTCTGCAACACGTCTGAACAGCACAAGCTCATCATCAGAGTTTAACTGAAGGACACTGTGTACAGACCCTAAAAGACCACCAGAGCCCCTCAAATGACCCCAGCCTCAATTAATGGTATATGCGGAATGTGAATGTAAATATTTTAATTAGTTCTTGGGAGAGACTGCCTCTTTCCAAGAAATGTGTTGCATATGCATGTTTTGTACAATAAAAGGAATGAATTTTGTGTAACTCAGTGGACATGCTAGGTGGAGCAATCCCGTGTGTTCCCAGCACCGAATAAAGAATACCTGCTTTCTAAAACTCCAGAACAAGTCTTGGAGAGTATTTCTTTTGCACCAAATTTTAGGTAACAGGGCTTGAGTCACCTGGACCAAGTAAAGCTGTAGGAAATGAAAGACACAAGCACTGCCTTGTGCTCATCTTAGCTATTGAAAGATTGCATAGAAGGTCTACTGGTTCCATATTCAAAATCTCCCTGTAGCTTGAAAGCAGATGGAAAGTCTGTCTGACTGCTTTGTCACTCCCCAAACTCACTGTATTTTGTAAAGATACTGTACCAAACTGAATTGAACCATGTATCCACTTCATTGTCATCACTCCTATCTAAATACAGTACAAGTTGCAAAAAAAAAAGGGGCAAAAATTAACATGGTTAAGCCACAGCAACTGATAAACAATAATTTTGCATATGATATAGACTATATTTCTCCATTAATTATGCTGTTAAGATTGTTAAGGTTGTTAGGAGCCACTTTATGATTATGTTCTTGCAAATATTTGCACTTTTATCTTTTATTTATGATAATAGAATCTTCTGCTGACTTGTGAGTAAATAGTTGTACAGTTAAGGACACATTCCTTGCAGTGAAGGTCTCATAGGTAGTTTAGAGCAGCTATCAACCTTTTTCCAGGCAACTTGATGGAGCTATTAGAAATTGGGATCATTACAGACAGAAGCAGTTATTTAGCATTCCACTCTGTCAGCCTTCTGTTTGTGAAGAAACTGTATAGTACTTAGGAGCATGTGATGGTCTGATGAAACAAAAAAGGGCAGAATATAAATAAGGATGAATTAGGAAATCTGTAAACAAGGATAAGGAAATAAAGCTAATATCTCTTGCATAAACTTGTTCAGTTTCCCACTGAGCCATTTAAACTTTCATCGCCCACAATATCCTTTGGAAAATACTTCTAGAGTTGTCTAAAGAACCTCCTCCTTTTTTTTTAGGAGGGGGAAACTAGTAGTATTATACAAAAATCTCACAAAAAGGAATCATAGAATAGGGTTGGAAAGGACATTAAGATCATCAAGTTCCAACCCCCCTGCCATGGGCAGGGACGCCTCACTCTCAAAAATGTCACCCAAGGCTCTGTGCAACCTGGCCTCAAACACTGCCAGGGATGGAGCATTCACAGCTTCCCTGGGCAACCCATTCCAGTGCCTCACCACCCTTACAGGAAAGAACTTCTTCCTT